CCTGGTGCAAAGGGTACTGCAGTCATTTGGAACTGGGGCTGTAGCAGGGGCCAGGCAAGAGGACTGCTGCTGTATGAGGACAAATATGCCTCAGTCTCACTAATTTGTGTCTCTGCTGCTGTTAGTGTCTTTCAGGAAGTGAAGGGTTGAAGCTGGGAGCTAGGAGTACTTCAAGTCCAGAAGTACCTAGATCCATACTGAAATCCTTTTCTCCTCTGGACCATATTTAAACAAGTTCTTACCTTTCATCACGAGTTTTTCTTTCACTTTGGAAAATCACAAAGAAAAGACATACTTTTATTATTTTTGTGTGTGTGAAAGGACAGGATTTCCCAAGATTTCACAGAGAAACATGGCCTCGGTCAGCACAGGTAATAGGGACACATAAGCTCTTCATATGTGTTTCTTGTTGGTCGATGACCTATGTGGTGTCAATTTAGTAAGATCTACCAGGCTCTGTATTTTAGCTCTGGCAGTGTGTTTTAGGAAGTGATGAGACCTCTCAGGACATTTCTTTGGCACACTGTAATGCTTCATAAAACTGAGAGATTGTGTCATTTAAAAAAAAGAAAGATGCTGTAGATTAGCCAGAACATTTACCTGCCAATGTGAGGGTGGACTTCACAGTATTTTCTAGCCTGATTTTCAGTGTTTGATGCGCCAGTATTTCCCTCTGTCTTTGGAGATATCCCAGTTCCTGTTACAGCTTGATTAGGAGGCGACGTTCATTCTTTCATCTGACAAAAGTCACAGTTTCTTCATGGCCAGTTCTCCAACCTTAAATACAGACTTTTCTGATTTATTGGTAATTTCTGTTCCCCAGTCATTCCCCTTGCTCCTTTCTTGTGGACACATATGACACGACAGGGAAAGTTTGGGGGACCGGATTCTTAAGAAAAGTCACACTCTTCTGATGTACAGTACTATCTGCCCTTGATCTTAGAATTGGCTGCTCTTCTCTATGGGGACTCTTGGCTAATTAAAGTTCAGATGGTTAGATAATGCTGTCTCAACCTATATCCCTGATGCTGTGCTGTTTATTCATGTCAGGTATTCATAAGACAGTTGACATTTTCTTCCTTAAAGATCTCTCAGGTAAATTACAGGCATTTTACTGCTCTGACCTTTTCCTTTACAGGAAGAACTTTTGTTTTCACCGTTTATTTTGTGAATATAATGTTAGAACGGATGTAATTGGAGAGGTGTAGTTGTTCTAGCCTGTATAGTTGGGCTATTACCTGTAATGATCCTCTAATACTGGTATTTATACGTGATTATCTCTTACCAAATTACTTTAAATTTAAAGAAAAAGCCAGACTGCTTCTCTGAATGGTTTTGGTGAATCACCTTTTCCCTTCCTTTCCCTGAATGCTACATTTGCTTTCCTAACACATTCATTTTGCATTTTGTGCCTGAGTCTTAGGAAGATGGCTTGCTCTATTAATATATTTCTGGAGTTCTCCTGTTATGAATAGACTTTTATGGCTTTAATGTAGTTTTTGAAAATTCCTCTATTATTGATCTAGATATTATCCCAGCAGGAGTCAAACCCACAAGACAATTGTGTGAGGATAATTTCTTACTACAGAAGCATTTTATTCTGAAAGCCTGCTGTGTGGTGTGTGCTTTGATGGATGACCCACTGTTTAAAATGTGTGTTAGGCATTGGCTTGCTAATTAAATGCCTTAAGGAGCGCTGGTATCCATTCAGTCTCAGTAAATGTGTGGAATTTCTGTTCTTTTATTTCTTGCTTACGCTCTTATGTTTACTTCTTCCTGTTTTCTGACTTTGTAGAGAAGAATAGCAAAAAGTCAAATTACTTTCTACCCTCACTCAAGACTTTCAGCTTAGGGCAGAGGCAAAACAATGAAGGCTTTTGGGCTCGGGACTAGGTCTGCCAGATGGGAGGATGAGGAGGAGAAGAAACAGGGTTTGCATTTCAGAAGGGAGTGAGAAGAGCACTCACCTGGGATTTGAGAGATATGAATTTGGATCCCTCTTTGCTCCTGAAGGACCATCTCCCATGAGGAAGAGGAGATAATTACAAAGCTGTGAGATGCTCTCATACTCCTCTGTTGAAGTGCTTGTTCTGGAAGCATTTTACTGGGAGGGAGAGTGTGAGACCATTCATAGTTGAAGAAAGGGGATGAAGTTATTCTCCTAATTTCTGAGCTGTTAAATTGAAAGGGCAGCCAAGGAGAGGGGCAAGGACTTCTGTACACCTCCAGGAAATGTTTCCTGAGTATAATCCCCATTCCCCTTGTTGGATTTTGTGTGTGTGTGTAGCAGATATGCATTAAGAACACCACATTTGCTGCTAAGGCCAAACACAGAATTTTTTTCTCAGAAAGATTTGGGCTTTTTGTTCTGGACAGAGGAATGTGTAGAGAATCATAAAATGGTTCAGGTTGGAAGGGACCTTTAAAGTTCATTTAGTCCAATGCCCCTGCTGTGATCAGGGTGCTCAAAGTCCCATCCAGCCTGGCCTTAAACACTTCCAGTGGTGGGTCATCTACAGCTTCTCTGGGCAACCTGTTCTAGCGGTCTCACCACCTCATAGTAAAGAATTTCTTCCTTATATCCGATCTCAATCTACCCTCTTTCAGTTTAAAACCATTACCCCCTTTACTGTCACTACAGACTGTGGTAAAAAGTCTTTCTCCCTCTTTCTTATAAGTTCTTTCTAAGTATCAAAAAGCAGCAATGAGGTCTTTCTGATACTTTCTGTTGTCCAGGCTCTCTCAGCCTTTCTTCATACAAAAGGTGCATACAAAACCCCCTGACCATTTTCATGACCCTCCTATGGACCTGCTCTAACAGGTCCATGTTTTTCCTGTGGTAGGGACCCCAGAGCTGGACTCAGAACTCCAGGTGGGGTCTCATGAGAGTGGAGTAGAGGGGCAGTATCCCCTTCCTCAACCTGCTGGCCACACTGCTTTTGTTGCAGTCCAGAATGCAGTTGGCTTTTTGGTTCATCCATCAAATCCATATCTCTCTAACTTAGAGACAAGGATGTTGTGTAGGACCATCTCAAAAGCCTTAGAGAAGTCAAATTAGATGGCATCTGTTGCTCTTCCCGTATCCACCAATGCAATCACTCCATCACAGCAACCACCAGTTTGGTCAGGCAGGTTTGCCCTTTGTGAAGCCATATTGATTGTCACATTCCTGTCACATTTCTGTCACATTCCTGACATTCATGTGCATTGACATATCTTCTGGGAAGATCTATTCCACGATCTTTCTGGGCACAGAGGTGAGACTGACAGTTTGGAAGTTCCCAGGGTCCTCCTTGCTGCCCTTTCAAAGGATGGGTGTGAAGTTTGCCTTCCTTTGGTCACCAGGGACTTCACCTGACTCCTGTGACTTCTCAAATATGAGGGAGAGCAGCTTAGCAACTGCATGAGCCTGTTCCTCAGGATCCTGGAGTGTATGTCATCAGGTCCCATGGGTTTGTGTTCAGGTCCCTCAGAAGGTCTCAAACCTGATCTTCTCCTGAGATGGGTGGGGCTTCATTCCTCTAGTCCCTGCCTTGATGTTCAGAGACTTGAGAGGTGTGGGACAAGCAACTGAGAGTGAAAACTGAGACAAAAAAAAGTTGTTGGGTACCTCAGCCTTCTCCATGCCAGCTGTCACCAGGGTCCCTGTCTAATTTGTCAGGGAATAAAACCGTTGATTCATCTAAACAAAAGTAAACTAATAGTTTTCTATTAAACACAGTAATTAATATTATTTTTTTAAGATTTAAATTGGAGACCAAATTTGAAAGAAAAAGATTGTTCTGTAATAATGACAAGGAGGTGTCTCTACTTGAGCAGGGGAGTGGACAAGATGACCTCTGGAGGTCCCTTCCAACCTCAACTCCTTCTGTGAGTCTAAACCCCAAATAGCTGTGCCTGCAAAGGAGGTAATTCTGTTTTCATTGCTGTCATCAGCTGTCTGGAAGCACAACTTGTTTTCTTTCACTGTAACTGCTCCTTGCCTCTTTGAAAGAGATGGAGGCAGAATCTTGCTCTTTGTGCTCCTAAAGCAAGGCCCATCAGGAGATGCATTAGGAGAAGGAAGGACCTTGTTTTTTTCCTGAAGGTGCTTGCAGGCCACATCCAAGGCCAAATCATGATGTTGTTTCCATCTCTGTCCCTGGACATGTAATTATCTGTGCTGCTCCATCCAGAGAGCTCTCAGCGGTGCTTTCAAGTGGAGAAAAGATCCCTGTGTTCAAAATAGAGATATCAATGGTAGTAGAAAATGAATCTGTGGTGTGAACCAGAGAAGATTATTTTGTTCTCATTAATGAGCCTAACTTTAGCCCATGGAGTAAGTGTGTAGGAACAGATGAATTAAAACTAATAAAAGCAGGCAGGAAATTAGGGAACAGAACACATCTCCTCTCAGTTGTCTTTTGGGCAATTTTGCTCAAACATGGGATTTGGAGATTCCTGCTTGGCTTGTGGGGCTGGTCACGCTCACCCAAGCTCTCAGAGGGGTGATAGGTTCATGGTGGCACTCTGTTATCTCTGTGAAAGTCCTTTCCTCACCAGCACTATGCCCTTGAGGACAATGCCAACTGCTCTCTTTTCCTCCTCCTTCTCCTCCTGCATGGAAGGAGACTGTGATACCCATTCATCAGGCCTATGCTGTGCTTTTCTGTAGTTTGTCTGACCTGTGTTTTCATGGAAGAGATTGCTTTGGGACTGCAAAGCAGCTCCAAGGCACTTGAATATCCCAGATACTCCATTGATAATTGCATTTGGCGGTTAACTTTGTCAAGTAAAGGCAACTGGTTTCTCAGTTCAGCCCTGTCCCCTCCATCAAATGCTGATTTAAACAGTATTTGTTATTTTATAGATTCAGCGCTGCAGTACTCAGAAACTGAAACGAGAGAAAAAAAAAGGAAAAAAAAAAGAAAAGAAAGGAGAGAAAGGCACATTTTGAAAGTTATAGGGGGAGGAATTTGTTCTAATCCCTCTGAAATTATTTTCTTGCTGAAAATTGTTAGATCTGGATGGACTAAGCCAACTGAGTTACCAAGACAACCTATCCTATCGTGGAGATGACCATGTATCTGTTGATTCAAGAACAACAACTGGGAATAGGGGCACTGGGCAGAATAAAGGGCCCAGGATGGAGCCCAGCATCGGGGATGGCATTAGCCGAGCAGCCACGGAAGGACACTTGGAAATGGAGACAGCACCTGCCAACCAGGGATTGGAAGTAAATGATGCTACTGACAGCTCATCGGCTTGGAGCCCTGAGGTACGGTGAATTGTCATTTATCACACATGGTGTAAGCTTTCGGAGGATATTGGGGGCCAAAAAGTGTTAGAGGAGAAATGAAGTGAAAAATTGATCAGCGCAGCCCAAGATAATGGTACTCCTGTGTGCATGTGTGCGTGAACATACACCCCTCCCTTTGTGTTTCCCCTCTTTCTGGTATTTTACCTCTTGCTACTAACACTAATTCACAGAAGCTCTTTTATTGCCTGCTTTCTGACTGCAGTCTCTGAGCTGAAATTGGAGCCATTAGCTGCCTGACAGCATTTACTGTCATTTAGCAAAGAGCACTCTGTGGTGGCCCAGGGCTTTGTCACTGGCTCTACATGCAAGGTGTGCGTCTCGGGACGTGGTATGTGGTCACTGGGTCAGATCTGTGCCTCTTTTTCCAGGTGTTTTCTATGATTTAGACAATGGGAAGCATCTGGAAAGCTGGACACAGCTGGTGGGGGTGGCCTGTGACTTGGCCAAGTGACCATCACTCTGGTCCCCACTGATACCAGGCAACTGTTTAGGGAAGGAGGGAACCCAAGGCTGCTTTCCCTTAGTTCTGCAGCTTTATTTTGAAGCCTCAAGAAAACATTTTGGATTTTAAGGCATTGTAAACACTTGATTACTTAGCATCTCCCTTTTCTCTCCTAATCTCTCTGCCTGATGTGTTGATTTTCATTATTTTACCACAGGGTAAAATGTCTGAAAAAATATCAGCCTGCATCAGACATATTAAAAGAACAGCACAAAGGTCACACTTGCCTGAGTTAAAAGAGACTGCTCTTCAGCTGTGGAAATTAATACTTCCATCACATTCTGAGCAACAAGGCTTTGAGGGAAAGGTTCCTATCCTCACTGCAGGCTGCCTGCAGCCAGTTAAAGAGATGGAAGGCAGCTCCTTGGGGCATATGCTCAAGCCCTAAGGGGTGTTTGGAGCAGCATTTTTGTTTGCTGAACAATCCAGTCCCACAAAACACTGCTCATCACATGCAAACTCTGTGTGGCAGCAGCTCTGCCCTCTTTTTGCTGTTTGTCTGCCCATCTGAGGCTCATTTATCCTTTTCCAAATTTGATGTGCATTTCTGTGGTTCACATGTGCCTCAGTGTCTCCAGTGTCCTCTTGTATTTCTTTGGAATACATCTCTTGTTTTGCTCCTGGTATCTACATTTTCCAAATGCAAAGAATGATTCTAGCATCAGGGGGCAAATATACCCAAGACCCAGTTTATCTGCTACAAGCAGCTTCTCATCTGAAGGTATTGTGTGCATTAATGAAAGACTTTTTATTGCAGGAACTAAATGTTCTGACATGCCAGAAATGTCCAAGTGCTATTATGCTCCACTCAAAGGACCTCTCTTTAGAGACGGAAATGGTAATTTTATGCCCCTGCAGTGGAACCACAAGTACCGTTTCAATCCTTATCCATGATTAGCTGTTCTTTCAGGTTTCTCTGGCAGAAATGGACTTATTTTACTTAGTGAAGTGGATATTGGCTGTCCTGAATGACCAGGTTAGACATGCAGTATCAATCAGTATATTTGGCTTGACTTCACAACAACTGTGCTGGGCAGAGGGAAAGAAATTCAGATGAAATATCTAAACCCCAGTCATTCCTTGGATTCCAATTTAAGTGTCTGTATAATCAATATGTTCACAATGCACTTGTAGCCCAGCTGAGCTTTGAGAGCTGAGGGGAGTTCTGTCAATGACTTCCACGGAAGGGAGATTACTGTGTGTGAAGCAAACCTGTACAGGGCTGAGTCCTGGATAGCACAGAAAGGGCCACCCTGTGAGGTCTCTAAAGCTTGGTTGCCCATGGAAAGGTTACTGCCACGGAGTGTGGCAGTTCTCTTTCCCTCTCTGCCTCCAGTTCACGTAGTTTTTCTCTGCAGTGGATGTGACTGCAGCTCCAGTAGCACGATTTGACATTTCCTGAAATCCAAATCCTATCTAGCTCTTCAGTCAAAAACCAGATCTCTGACCTTCAGCCTGCCCTACACGCTGCCAGAAGGTGAGATACTTAGCCCTGCTGGGATGGGAAATTGCCTCTTGGATCTTCGTGCCTGTGGGTTTATGATGGTGCCCAGGAGTTCACCTTCTCCAGCTCAGGCATGTGGATGAAAGCAAAGTTATGCTGCAAGCACAGTTGTCTCCACACCTTAGCAGCAGCCCTTGAATGTGCTTTGATTCCATCTCCTCAGTAGCAAATGCACAGATAAAAGTGTGAAGGGATGAAAATGTGGAGGGAAATATGAGTCAAGCACAATCCCATTACGTTTCCTTCTTAAATATTATTTCATCAACCAGACAGAAATAACTTGACAGCTACAGAGAGCAGCACTTAACATTTGCATAACACCACGCTCTCTCCAGGCAACCTGGCCTACCTTGCATTTTTGTTTTTTTGCAGCCTGCTGTTCATACAGAAAGGTATTTTTGTGGCCAACCAAGTCATTTTAGGTGTTGCCCAAGCGGTGTTTTTTTCTCCCTTTGACATTACTTCTGCAAGACGTCTGACAGCAGGTCTCCAGCCTCAGTCTGCACACTTGAACTTTTGTATTCACGTGCACAAGTCTTAAACACCTCTGAAAATATGGAGAGCTGGAGCTTTGCACGTCATGGCAGATTAATCTGAGCACTAGGAAAAGTAGATTGGCAGGAAGTAAACACAAATTTTGATGTTTATCTGAGGCCTTGTTTGAGACACGTACCACCCTAGGCACTTCTGAAGGGAATTACATCAGACATCCCAAGGCCCATCATCTGTTCTCTGAACAATAAGATTCCTGTGTTGAAAAGAAGTGTTACTTGAAATGCGAAAGAAGAGAAATGTTTGAGGAGGAGGGTGACTCAGATTCTGGTGACAGGCCTTAATTCACCTTCTGGCTATTAACTGAAAATCTTTCCCTAGTACAGTGTATACTCATGTTTAAATACAAATCATTGATCACTATAGCAACCCCTTTATCACATGAAGCACATTCTAGCTCTGAGATAAAAAAGCACTTTTGAACAGAAATGCACACGCCCACTCAGCAAAAGGTAAGGTGAGCATCCATGTTTTTATCTTGTTTTATCAAGATGATTTTTGTTTTAAAAGTAGGTAAAAGATTGTGTGTGGATTGGTCTGCACATGTTGTGCTTGTTTATTTTGAATTTTTATTCTGAATGTATTAGTATCCAAACAGAACAGAAGGAACAGATGCTTCTCTTGGGAGATTTAAAAAGGGTATAAAGAGTCAGTATGTATTTACTCAGACTGTTTTTCTCCATTATCATTGCCTTAGCTGTAGGAAAAGTATTGAAATATAGGGTAGCATCTAGAAATGGAATTTCAATTTTGCAAGAAATTCTGATATGGTGATTTCCTCTCCCATCAAACTGAGCCACAGTGCTTAATTTTTTTAATTTATAGCAGAACAAAATATCTAAAAAGTTAGCAGGTTTGGCTGAATTGTTTGATTTTGCTAATGCAAAAAATATGTCTTGACAAAAAATTCCAATGTACGTTCAAAGTAACATTGTAAGTTAGTAAAAACATTTAAGTTGGTCAAACTTACTTACATAAGTAAGTTGGTCAAAACATTTTGTTGATGCCTCAAAATTGCTGTGAATGAAATGTAAAAAAACCTTTGTTGAGTTTTTCCTATGAGGAATGTTTTCCAAATTAACTGTCTCCTGCAAAACATGTAGATATTGATGAAACTTTTTGTTGGAAATGTTTCAACAAGTGCTATTGCTTACTAGAGTGCATGGGGAATATTACACAAAATCAGGCAATTAACAATCATTGCCCTTTCAAGAAACAGTGGGGTCTTTATTTTGCACAGGAACTGCCTACACTTGCAGGCACGAGGAAGAACAATCTTTTTTAAATGGAGTTCAGATCACAGAGACAGTTGAACTCCAGTGGAGGTGTTATTTCTTCCTTCTCTTTGCAGGAACATAATGAAGTGAACAGTGTACCAGCTCATCATGGCACTCATGAGCCCATCTGCAAATGTGGTGATCTAGATGTCATCTTCAACTATAAACCCTCGAGTCAAAAGCTGGTGGTTACTATCTTGGAGGCCAGGGATATCCCAGACAAAGACCGCAGCGGTGTGAACACCTGGCAAGTGCACACAGTTCTGATGCCAGGCAAGAAACAGAGGGGTAAAACGAGCGTTCAGAGAGGACCCATCCCCATCTTCAAGGATAAAATTGCCTTCGGTAAGCTGGAACCACAGGAGTTAAGCAGCCACGCCGTTCGCTTCCGCCTCTACGCGGTGCACAAGATGATTGGAGAGAAGATGATGGGAGAGCAGCTGTTCTACCTGAGCAACATCAGCCAGGAAGAGGAAGTGAAGGTGACACTGGTCTTGGAGCCCAGAAGTAACTTGAGTGTAAGTTTGATGAAAGACATATGGGATCCATAAAATTGTTTGTCTGGTGAGCGGGGACCAGCCTTACCTGACGTCTTTCATTCAGGGCTGTTAGCATGTGACTGGTGGATCTGTCCTGCTGTCACTTAAAAAGTTATCAGTAAGGGGAAGCACAGGATATTTGTTCCCTATGCAAAGCTGTGCTTTATTAACAACAGATCAGCTAGCAAGCTGACACCAAACCATGTGTATGTACTACATCTACACGAATCATCACATGCTGTGCCATTCAGAAATAGTAGGTTGATCCAGGAACCACCAAGGCTAATTATGTCTTAATTTCAATAAGGACAGTGATTCTTGTGCACCATTGTGATTCTTGTGTTGGTGGACCTGTACTACTGCCAGTGCAGGAGCTACCTCATTTGGCCCTAGCTACTAGCTTGTGTATCTCCACATGGTGCAGTTTCCATGTTGCCAGAAATGCTTAGTAATGTTCCTTTACATGACAGATGGAATTGGAGAGGTGGGTCACGGGAAGAGGAACTGGCTGTGCTGCTTCCTAATTTCCCAAGCACATCACAGTTGTATCCAGCTCTGGCTATGCCAATCAATTTGTGTAGATGAGCTCTGTCATGATTCATTGTCTACAAAAAGCTCAGTGAGAGGCTGTGCACACAAAATGAATAAAACATCGAACTCCAGGTGAAGAGGGAATAGAGAGAGCATTGTGGGAGCAAGGAAAGAAAGTAAGAAAATGCACAGACCAAAAAACCCCAAACTGCAAACTGTATTCCATCCAAAAGCCATTATCAGGGAGATTGACTGAGCATTAATGTAGTAGGATGTTTGGTTATCTCAGAGGCTTTGATTTACAGTAGTGATAACACATTATGCAGAGTTCCTCATCTTTAAAGAGAAAGTTCAGAGATGTGTTTTTGTAAAAGTGACGCTCTGATTCTCCTGGTGCCCCAGCATAATTAATTCTTAGTTATTGTAATTTCTTAAGAGAGCTGTTACCAAATGAGACTAGAAGATATAAATTGGGGGAGGGTGGTGGTGAATGTCCTGATGATTCTCTCGGTGCTCTTTCCCTGCAGAGTGCAGATTCTCAGCTTAGTCTGTCAGCAATCTCTCACAGTGATAGTGCTTCTTCAACACAGTCCCTGTCGCATGGAGGGGTGCCAGAGCTGCTCGTGGGATTGTCATACAATGCCACTACGGGGCGGCTGTCGGTGGAGATGATCAAAGGCAGTCATTTCCGAAACCTCGCAATTAATAGGCCACCTGGTAAGTACTCTCACTGCTATTAAATAACACCATTGAGTCAAAATTTGCTTCTTATTTTCTTCCTCGAGATACTCAATTATGCCTTTTCTGAGCCGGGTTTCCTTGCAGAGCACCTGATGAAAAATTAAAAGCCTTTATTTCAGATGCGCGTGTTGGTAAATGTTACAGGGTAATTGGAGGCAATCATATGAAGACACAGCTGATGGGATGGTAATACCTGAATGTCTGTTTTATTGCATATACCTTTACAACATCAGATTAAGGCAAAAGTGTCATTATACCCAAAGCACAGGGTAATTCTCAGCAGATCCATAAAAAGAAAGAAGCACTTTCCAAGTGTTTATATGTTACCATGTGACCCACAGGGGCCCTGCCTCATGCCATTAAGTGTTTCCCAGGGCTATACTTTGTTTAGTCCCCTTGCTGTGCTGCTGAGTGCTGGGTGACCTGGTGCTTTGGGCCCTTTGGGGATCCTCCTGCTGTGAATTCTCGGCTGCTGCACAAGAAAATCTTCTGCAGAAGGAAAATTGGAAAGTTGTCACAACAGGGTCACAATAGTTGAGTTCCTTTCCTCCAGTCCTACAGGAAAAAATGGAAATTGCCTTACAGTAGGTTTAGTTAGTGCCTGAGCTGTAGTTAGTCCTTGACATGGATAGTGCTGCTGTCCATGATATAGATGGAGTCACAAAGCCATAGCACCTGATCTTTGCTTTGCCACTGGGATGCCTCATTCAGGGGTTGAATGGCAGCACTGTATTCATCCTGTGTTGTCCTTTTGCCTCCTGTCTGACACCAGCAACTGATGGCAATGTGAAATAATGTGTGTTTTTTGTTTGTCTGTTGGTGTGTTTGCTTTTCGTGATGTTTGCCTACTTGTCAAAGATAATAACCTTTGACGGTTCCTTGCCTTCGCTGGATTTGACATAATATCTGTAGCTGCAAAATGCTAAGATTGCTTTTGCAAGATACTCTGCTCTTTGGCCCAGATCTAGCAAAATATTTATGTAATATTTCAGTGTATGGATGTGAAAACTCGAGTTTCTACTAAACTATACTGGAGTATATTACAAAAATAATGTGTCATCATTTAGTCCCTCGAGAATTAAGGGCAAGCCTGTGCAGCAGTAAAACACCTGACCCCAGTCTGTGTAGTCCTAGCTCATCTTTTATTATCTGTAGCAACATAGGTCTCTATGTGAGTTACTTAAAGGCATGTTCTTGTTAACATTTACATGTTTTATTAAAAACATTTTGTGTTTGTTGATGACAAAAGAACAGAAGCAGGATATGGGCAAAGGAGGCATTCCTTGAGGGACTTTTTATTTTAAATTCTGACTGAATTTTCCATTTCTATGTTTGTGGGGCTTCAGATAAATCTAATTTATTCTGTTTGATGAGGTGGGCAAAGTCTTCTGTCAGCCAAACTAACAGTGCATACATTGTTTCATAGCAGTTCTTTCATGTTTGCTGTTAAGACTATCTCGAGTTGTTTCTTCTCATCCTTTCTGTATCCAAAAGAACTTTAACATTGTCAGACCAGTGTCTCTCAGTGTTAGATCAGCTTTTAGGTGAAACACAGAGATCCATAAATGATTATAGGCAAATTCTGAACCTATCACAATCTGCTTCTTTTATTCCAAGTTGCATTGTTGCTTCTGCTTTCTTAATTGTTCTTCTGTGCCTACAAAGTTCCCAGCGGTGTGGTGAGAAAAGGAAAACCCAGTGAAGCAGAAACTGAAGGAAATTAAAAAGAAGGAAGAAAACCAGCACTTGTCTCAGATGCTGGAGCAGCATTTCACTGATAACTCCTCAGGCACTGCAGGGGAGTGCTGTGAGGTCCGATCGTTACTGTCTGAAACATGCTGGTGGCTGAATGAGATGCTCAATAAGTCCTTCAAGAGGTGAAAACTAAAGGTGGTATCCCGCTTTCTGGAGGGTGAGGAAAGAGCCCTTGCATTTTCTTAAATAGGTCCTATTTTTGGTTCTGTCGTTTGAGGCTCAAAGGGAGTGATTTCTGTAAAGTATCATGGAAATTTCAGATATAATAGTGCTTTGGGGCACTTAAATACCAAGCTCAAACTGCTATTCAGGGCAGCCATTTATGGTAGGACCAGGAGAAGGCAATGGACAGAATCCATCTCTATTCCCAGCCCTGCAAGCACAGACTCTACACAGGACCCATATGTAGTCCTGTTGCAGCCCAGTGGCTTTAGTACTGGCTGCTGCTGCTGCCAGCTGCAGCTGTGGAGAATGGCAGGAGAGTCTTGAATAACAGCAAAGTCTCCAGCTGTGTTTTTTGCCCACCTTTATCCTTTTCTCTGCCACCTGTACTCTTATAGCATGCATGCTTCCTTCTTGGCATCCTGGCACAGGGATTTCACTGTGAGCAGGAGAAGGAACTGGACTGGGGCACTGGTGATTTTAGGTGTTAAAGGCTGCAGAGGCTGAAAGAGTTGGTTTTCTGGAGAAGAAAAGGAGGATAGTGCATGTTTCAGTTTTTCCTGGGCACATCATCTCCTTCACCTTTAAACTGAGTCAGGTAAATATCAAAGTCATGGGTGCTTACGTGAGTAATAACCAGGTTAGAAAACAGCTGGACATCTTACAGAAACTTAAATCTGTGTCTTCTCTTCGGGTCACATTTGTGCGATTTAAGGATAGTTTGGGCAAGGATAAGTGTCCAGGTATTGTTCTGGGTAACATGCTGAGTTATAGGCCTAAGCCTACAATCCCTGATCACATAAATAGATCCATTATAATTCAGAGCACTTAAGAGCACTCAAGAGTATGGCTGCAGCATCGGACCGTAAATTATCCGTGTGCCAAAAAGCCTCATGCAGGAAAGCATCTACAGTTTTGTCAGATGTGGACACTGTTGGTATTTTAGTGCTAATGGCTTGTGTGCTGTGCACCTCATTCTATTTGGTTCTTGTAAAAAAAACATTAACCTGTGCTAACATTTTGTAGGAGTTCATATTTTGTTCTGTGGTCTTGTATCTTAGAACAAAACACAGCATGTTCTCTTAAAGGGTGTTTATTATAAAAAATGTAACAAGAGAAACCTACACCACTGTCAGAGACATCTTTAAAAATTTATAACCAGTTACATACTATGTGCATGGTAGTAATACCTTGGGATCACAGTGATGGAACAGGAATCATTTGAACTAGTCAGTGTATAAACACAAAACAGAGAGATGCCTGCCCATGTGATGTTAAACCTTCATCTGCTGCTCTGCTGGGTGCAGCTCTCTCTCCTCTAATCCAGCCTTCCTTCTTTTCCCTTCTGCATTTCTTTTGGGGTTTATGTCTGTGTGTAGTGCAATTTGAGAAGAACTATTGTAAAGTTATTCCATCGCCTAAGAAAAGTCCTCCAAGGTTTTCAACAGCTGCAGAATTAATCACACATTATAATTACATCCGTACATGATCATTATTATACCAGCAGCATATTAACCCCATTAAACAAATACAATAGCATTAATGCTGGAAAAGACAGGAGGGAGAGAACAAGCTATCAGGATTTCTGTTGGTAACAGGAGAAAGTTCTTGAATTAAAGACTTTTCTGAAAACAAACATTTACCTGAGCCACAGGTAACAATATCCAGGAAACACAGAAAATGCTCCCACAGAAAATTTAAGATCCTTACATTAGGATCTGCATTGCTCTGGTATCAGGGTGCTTGAAAGGCATTAGTGGATTTTATTTTATCAGATTATTTGTGAGAGAATTAAAGTTATTAACCATGTTACATTCCTGGAGAACTAAGGCACAGGTTAATTCCTTTAATTACTCCAAATCAGACCAAGAAGCTGAATAAAAAAATTAACGTTTAACCTGCATATCTTGCTCTGAACAAGGAACTTGCTTGAGCTCCTAAAGCTTTGTGATTCATGCTTCCATGTCATTGGTAATAGAAGGGGGACCTCGCCAGGGCAAGATGGGGTGGATTCAGTCCTCCAGAGAGCTTGGTTAACAGAGTTGGGATTTTCTGGGAAGCTTCTTGCTGCCAAGTGCTTGCCAGTCAGTCACAGTAAAATTGTAGGAAAGTCACTTCTCCTTCTGCACCTTCTTTTTGCCCATCCTTGAACAGCTAAAATAAGCTTACAATAAGAACAGCTGAGAAAGCTTTGTTCTGGGTGAGAAAGATGAGGCCAGATGCAAGCAGCCCCAGAAGGATGTCTTAGTAATGAGCAGCCAGGCAGTGAGGCAGAAGATGAAGTGTGGATGAATGTAAAGTATTGCATGGGAGCACATGTGGAATTCAAACTTAATCTGGATGGACTCAATATTTCACTTAGGAGTGAAATATTAGTCTTACAGTAAATAGCTCTAGGAAAATGTCAATTCAAGGATCAGCAACAGCAGTGAAAAAAACCCAAAACAAATGTGGACAAAATGAAAAATTGATATTTGATTGTAAATACACAGTCAGTGGTCTAATGAATACTGTGTGCAGTGCTGGCTCCCTCTGTTTAAATAGCATATGATAGAACTGAAAAGATGTGGTGAGGAGTGTTGGAGACAATCAGGGGTATGGGAACAGCTTCCAACGAGCTGTAGCTGAATAGACTGTGCCTCCTACGATGTTACAACAAAGGGAGATGGGGGGAGATTTCACGGAGGTCTACAAGTGTCATTGAGAAAGTGAATTGACAGCACTTACTCATTGTCTTCTCCTGATACAAAACCAAAGGATCATAAAAGGAAGCGAGGAGGTAGTGGGTTCTGAAGAGGAGACAGCTCTTCACCTACACTGTTGAATTCCTCACTGCAGAACGTCATGGATGGTGGAAATCTACTTGAGTTCTGTGCAACACAGGGGAAGTTCTCAAAGTTCCACAGAGGATCACTAAGTACAAAGACACTGCCTCTGACTGAGGAAGTTCTTGAGTCACAAATTGCTGGATACTGGGGGAGTATTTGGGAGGGAACCAGCATATGCCGTATTTTTATAGCTTTACTAAGGTGTGTGTACTGGGGTACTGTTGGCTGGAT